ATTCTGGTCATTGGATTTTTATGGTTGATTAGGCTTATATTTATATATAGATAATTCACTAACTCTTCCTAAGAAATGTAGTTCTTTGGAGGAAGCAAAGAAGGTTAGATTAGTCTAACTCCCTTGAGTCTAAATTTATCTGAGAAATTTGACACCTTATAAAATCTTATTGGTACTTAAAAACATTAAATCTTTCTTAGACTGTGATCTTTAGAGAGCTTCCTTTTTGTAAAACTTCATTTTTATTTCCTTTAACATACTGAATATTTTGATAATTTTGTTAATTTGTTGATATACTAATATTTCCAAATTTAGGAATTTTAGCCTAGAAAACCTTCCTTTCATTTAAGGAAAGTGCTGTAATATCAGGCAGAGGTAATCATTGCCAAGGATCTTTGGCATCTCTGCCCACACCCCCAAAATGGAAAAATGCCAAGCTGCAGACATTTCTCAGCCATGTTGATCATAATAATTCACAATCACAGCAGCCAATGAAAAAACTGTCGGTAAGAAATATGTATAATAATTCATGCCCACTCCCCACAGATTTTAATTTTAGCTGAGTTATTTCTTCCCAGACAGCCTGGCAACATCATACATCGTCTGCTTTAAATAGTAAGTCCCTTAGGATTTATATTTCATTTTACTAGGTCAAAGAGGCTTTTATTATATAAGATTTCTCAGAGTCTGCATTTAGCAGTTATAATAAAATAATAGGAAGGTAGCGCAGATGTCATTTGTATTTATCCCTTTTATGTTAATATAGAGGGATTATTTATATATATATATATATATATATATATATATATATATATATATACACACACACACACACACACATATATATATATACACACACACACCTAAAGAAATTTTCTGTTTCTGTACTTAAAGGAAGAGCTGATTTAATCAAAAGCATTGATTAAATGAATGACCTTTTAAAATTTTGCTTATATCATAAATGAACATTAAATTATTGGATTATTCATATAAAGTTAGAATACCTATTTTTTTGAGTTGAAATTCCTTAGACTAAATTGTTTCTTAATTTTCCCCCTGGTTTTCTTATTCAGTCTGTTAGACACTGTAACTATGCACTTAGGACTTTAAGAGATAATTTTCAGGATAATCTGTGAGATGTATACATTTATATTGAGGGGAAATGATTCAAGATTATAAGATGATTTAATGCTTCAAGAAATAATTACCAATTTTAAGTTCTCAGTTTCTTCCTAACCTGTACAGTGATAAATTTTCCCTTACACACTGAAGATTCAGGGAGCCATTTCAGGCTAGTTGAGATATAGCAGTAATTCTATCAATCGTTATCATTACGTTGACTGTACTTACTCATTTTGATAAAATTAACATTTCTCTGTGTGAGTTTGCTTTTTTCTATTGAAGTTTGCCTTCCAAAATGTACATAATGAAATTATTTTGTGTTTTGTAATAACCTAGGTACCATGGACAGGATACCAGGGTAGGTTTGCAGTTGATCCTCGAATCATTACACACCAGGCAGCGATGGCCTACAATATGAACCTCTTACAGACGCACGGACGGGGGTCTCCTCTACCTTATGGCCTTGGCCATCATCCCCCTGTCAGCATAGGGCAGCCTCAGAACCCGCATCAGGAGAAGGATCAGCATGAGCAACAACGAAATGGTGAGTTGCTTTGCTGGTCTCATGTTCCTAAAATAATGATATGCCAACCTGTATCAACATAGAAAGTTCCTTTTATAGTATGATTGTTAACTTGTTTATGGGTCATAGACCTCTTTGAGAAAAATCTGACATAAAAATGGTGGACTCTCTCTGGAAGATGCACACATATAAAATTTGCATGTAACCTACCAGCTATGATTGGCATTACCAATTTCCTGAAAAAATATTAAATGTTAATATTTAAAGTATTTTAGATGGTAGTCATTTAATATTGAGACAGAAAACCCTATCTGTTAAACATTTTTGTTAGTCCAAGATATTTTTGTTGTTGTATATTAAACATTAACACTGCTGTGGCAATAATTGATTTAAACTAGTTGTTTCTTATGCAAGTTATAGTCTCTTATCTCTTAGAATTGTAAATAAAGGAAAGTTAGCCATCATATGTATTTGTTGGTTTTTTTAATTTTTATAAATATATTTTATTGATTTTTTTACAGAGAAGAAGGGAGAGGGATAGAGAGCTAGAAACATTGATGAGAGAGAAAAAAATGACCAGCTGCCTCCTGCACAACCCCAACTGGGGATGTGCCCACAGCCAATGTACATGCCCCTGACCGGAATCGAACCCGGATCCCCCACTCCGCAGGCCGATGCTCTATCCACTGAGCCAAACTGGTTTCGGCTTGTTTGTTTTTTTAATCCTCACCTGAGGACATTTATTAAATTTATTTAAGAGAGAGGAAAGAGGAGAGAGAGACATCAGTGTGAGAGGGAAACTTCCATCAGTTGCCTCTCATATACCTTCTAGCTGGGGATTGAACCCGAAACCTGAGTATGTGCCCGGACCAGGAATCAAACCCTTTTCCACGCACAGGATGATGCTCCAACTAACAGCTACACCGGTCAGGGCCTACTCTATTTTTTAACATCAGGTTTATTGACTTTTAACTTATATACAGTAAAATTCACTCTTTTAAAATGTTAGATATACTCTGACAAAATATACAGAGTTATTAATAAGGACACAGGATATTCACATGACCTCAAACAGTTCCTTCATGTCCCTTTGCAGTAAGTCTCCTCCAATCCCTAGCCCTGGGCAACCACTAATCTGACTTTTGTTTCTACTTTAGCATATCATAAATAGAGTCTTAGGGGAAGTAGTTTTTTTGTGTTTGACTTTGTTCATTTAGCTTAATCCATTTGAGATTCATTCATATCACCTGTGACAATTGTTTGTTCATTTTACTGTTGATTAATATTCCACTACATGGATACATCACAGTATTTTTATCTGTTTGTCAACTGATGGACACCCTAGTTATTTCTAATTTTTGGTTCCTAAGCGCTATGAACATATGTGTGAACATGTATTTTCATTTCTCTTGGATAAACACCCAGGATTGAAATGTCATAAGGAATTGCCATACTATTTTCCAAAGTGACTGGACCATTTTTCATTTCTACTAGAAATGTATGAGATTTCTAGTTGCTCCACATTTTTATCAGTACTTGATATTGTCAGTCTTTTTAACTTTACCCTTGGTAGTGGTTATCTGATAGTATCTGATTATGGTATTAATTTGCATGTTGCTGATAATTAATGATGTTTAATATCTTTTTATTGTGCTTATTTGACATCTATATATCTTTAATGAAGTATGTATTCTTAATTTTTGCCCGAGTTTTTATTGGTTTGTCTTATTGCATTATGAGAATTCTCTGTACATCCTGGATATAAGTCTTTAATTATACATATGTTTTGAAATATTTTCTCCCAGGATATGACTTGCGTTTTCATTTTCATAACAGTCTAAAATTTTTTGCCTAATTCAAGATCACAAAGACCATTTTCTTTTATTCTATAAGTTTCATAGTTTTAGCTCTTATACTAGGTTCATTTTGAGGTAATTTTTGTATATGGTTTGAGGTAAGAATTGAAGGGGTTGTATTTTGTTTTTGCATATACTAATATATATATTCAGTGGCTTCAGCAGCATTTGAAAATGCTATCCTTCCATTAAACTAATTTGGTGCCTCTTTTGGAAATCAGTTGACTACTTATGTGAAGTTTGTTCTGTTCTATTGATGCATATGTTTGTGTTTATGCCAAATACGCTGTCTTGATTACTATAGCTCTATAAGCCTTGAAATCCAGTAATATAGATCTTCCAATTTTGTTCTTTTTCAAAATTGTCTATTCCAGGTCCTTTGCTTTTCCATATACATTTTAGAATCAGCTCATGAGTTGCTACAAAAAAGCCTGCTAGGATTTTGATTGGGATTGTGTTGAATCTGTCAATGTTTAGATGTCAATATGGGGGGAATTGACATCTAAACAATATTGAGTATTCTGATATATGAAGAGGACATGTCTCTCTCAAGATCTTTAATCTTTTTCATTTTTTAAAAAGCTTTTCAGTATATAACTCTTGCATATATATTTTTAAGGTGAAAGATTAATACAGGTATTTAGTGTTATAATTTTCCTCCTCAGTAGTACAGTGTTATATTTTTATTTCATTTCATTCTGTACATTTTATCATTTCTCTACAAATTAGACCCATTGATTATTTAGGAAGGTGAGTTTTATTTTTTAATCATTGGAGATTTTCTAAGAATTTTTCTGTTACTGACTTTAAAAAAAAAATATTTTATTGATTTTGTACAGAGAGGAAGGGAGAGAGATAGAGAGTTAGAAACATCGATGAGAGAGAGTCATTGATCAGCTGCCTCTTGCACACCCCCTACTGGGGATATGCCCGCAACCAAGGTACATGCCCTTGACCGGAATCGAACCCGGGACCTTTCAGTCCCCAAGCTGACACTCTATCCATTGAGTCAAACCGGTTTCGGCTGTTACTGACTTTCATTTCATTGTGATAAGAGAATATATTTTATATGAATCGAATCCTTTTGAAATAATTGAGATTTGTTTTATGACCCACTGCATGGTCTATCTTTGTAAATTTTCCGAGTGCACTTGAGAAGAAAGGAGTGCTCTTTAAATGTTAATTAGGTCAAATTGTTAGATAGGATTGCTTAAGTCTCTTATAGCCTTGCTGATTTTCTACCTACTTAAAAAAAAATATTGAAAGGAATATTGAAATCTTCAAATATGCCCTAGCTGGTTTGGTTCAGTGTATAGAAGACATGTGGACTGAAGGGTCCCAGGTTTGATTCCGGTCAAGGGCACATACCTGGGTTGCAGGCTCAATCCCCAGTAGGGGGCATGCAGGAGGCAGCCTGTCAATGATTCTCTCTCATCATTCTTGTTTCTATCTCTCTCTCCCTCTCCCTTCCTCTCTGAAATCAATAAAAAAATATATCTTTAAGTGCTTGCTTTAGTAGTACTATAGTTGGAATGATACAGAGAAGATTAGCATGGCCCCTGTGCTAGTATGACACGCAAATTTGTGAAGTGTTCCATATTTAAAAACACACACACACACACACACTAATAAAAGAGCAATGTGCTAATTGTTCCTTTGTGATGCCCACCAGCCAATTGGAGTGAATATGCAAATCAACCCAAAAAAGGCGGGGTAATTTGCAAAAACAGGCACTGACTGGCCAGGGCAGGGCAGGACACTTGGGCAGCAACAGCATAGGCATTCTGCACCACCCCAGCCACTCTGGGCCTCTGGGCATTGTGGGAAGGCAGACAGGCAGCTCTGACTAGAGTGAAGGCGGTGCTGGCAGCCAGGGGAAGGAATGCCCATTCTTGCATGAATCTTTATGCATCAGGCTTCTAGTATATATATATTTAAAAAATAATAAAAATAGAAGTCTTCAAATATAATTGGTATTTGTCTATTTTTCTGTAAGTTTTGCTTGATGAATTTTGAAATTCTGTTGTTAGGTACATAGACATTTAAAATACTATGCTCTTGATTAATTAACAAATTCATCATTATGGAATGATCTTCTTGAGCTCTGGTAATATTCTTTGCTCTGAGATCTACTTTGCTTAATGTTAATAAAGTCACTTAGCTTTGTTTTAACTATTGTTAGCACGGTACATCATTTATTGACCCTTTATTTTTAATCTATTGTATTTATATTTAAAATACATTTTTTTTAGAAAGCATATAGTTGGTCCTTGATTTTTAAAAAAATCCAATATGATAACCTCTTTCTTTTAATTGGATTGTGTAGACCATTTATACTTATGGTGATTATTAATATAGTTAGGTTTGATTTTTATCATCTCGCTCTATTGGTTTTTTAATTTGTCCAAACTGGTTTTTTTTTCTTTTTCTTTTTTTTTTCTTCTTCTAATTTTTTTTCTTTTTCCTTTTTTCTTTTACTCTGCCTTCTTTTGGATTATTTGAATACTTTCATGATTCCTTTTTTTATCTCCTTCATTGGCTTATTAGCTATAACTTTATTATTTTAGTATTTCTTTAGGTTTATAGTATATATCTTAAACTTACACAGTCTACTTTCCAATTTATATCTACCACTTCGTGTACACTAAAATAACTTCAAAACATTTCATTTTTTTCTCTCCTAGACTTTATCCTATTGTTATAATGCATTTTACTTTTACATATGTTATAGGCTCCAAATGTTATTTTTCTTAAGATATCCGTGTATTTTTTTAAAAAGTTTTTAATAAGAAAAATAATATTTTATATTACTCATGTAATTAGCATTTCTGGTAATCTTTATTTTTTTCTATATATTTATGTTTTCATCTGATACAATTTCCTTCTGCCCAAAGTTCTTTTAACATTTCTTGTAGTGCAGGTCTGCTAGTGATGAAGTTTTTTAGAGAAATCTGAAATCACCCCTATGCTTGCTTTCTGTATGAAATGTGTCTTTTTCCCCTGCCTGCTTATAAGAGTTTCTTTTATACTGGTTTTAGTAATTCGATTATAACACTTCTTGGTGTAGTTTTCTTTGTGCTTCTTGTGTTTGGGATTTGTTGGGCTTCTTGGATGGTTTACAGTTTTCATCAAATTTGGAAAGTTTTGATTCTTTATTTCTTTAGGTTTTTTTCTGTCTTACCTTATTTCTTCTTCAGGAATTCCAACTACCCATATATTAGTCTGCTTAAAGTTTCGCTACACCTCACATACACTTTTTCATTTAAAAAAATATCAATTTTCTTTTTGTATTTTATTTTGCATATTTTGCCTTCTGCTTCACTAATCTTTTCTTCTGCATTGTCTAATCTGCTGCTAATTCCATCCAGTGTATGTTTTATCTCAGACATTGTAGTTCTTATTTCTTAAAGTTTAGTAGTAATTCATTTTAAAGATTTGGCCCTATGTTTTTGAACAAGAACCCAAGTTAAGGATTCTTTCAGGAATTGAAAATTTCCATCAGTTAATTCTTATATAGGAGAAGCCTTTCACATGGATGAACTGGCATTATCTTTTATAACTGTGATATTTTCAAACTTAATTTTACTTCTTTCACTTATATTTAGCTCAATATCTATTACCTTTAAGCAGCATGCATACATTTCAGAATGTCTTTACTCAGATTAGATTCCTTTACTAAATTAGATTGACACATTATTTGGATTTTGCTTAATTGCATTTATAAAGGATCAAATTTTTGAGCCTTTATAAATAAGCAAGAATGCCATGTTCTTTTTTATGTCTAGTTTAAGAAAAATTAGGCTGTAAATACCTGGAGATTGGGATGTTATCTTTGGAATTATTTGATGTTTTAAGATTATATCCTTTTATAAAGCTTTTGCCTGGTCAATGTGGTTTGCTATATTTTTAAATTTACTTTCTTGTAGAGAAACTGTCTCTGAAAATTTAAGAACAAAACCCAAGCAATAATACAAATTGATAATAATGGGTGAAAAATGTTTAAAATATTTTCTTTTGTCTAATATTGGGTAGTCATTGGAAATATCCTCACTGGAAATTTAAAAAAATTTTAAAATATTTTCTTAGGTAAAAGTGATACAAATAATCCTGGACCTGAAATTAATAAGATTCGAACACCAGAGAAAAAGCTTACAGAATCAAAACAGGTATGGTGCTTACATTTAATGACTGAATTTGTTCTAATTGATTTAGTCTGATTGGTCATCTTGGAATTTTAATGTTTTTAAAAAATTTTACTTTTTATTTGTATTTTTAATGTTATTGTTTTATAGTGATCTGGTGGGTCATGTTACCATCTCTCCATCTTTTTTTTTCTTTTTTTCTACATTATAATTTATCAGTATACTTTTCTCAAATTGTGGTATCAGTTATAGACTTGAACTTAAGAGACTTTCCATGATAAAGTAGTCAGTGAAGACACAGCAATAGTTGTGTCGTTAAAAATTGTCTCCAAAAAAAGAAGCTGTATAGTGAAGAAGAAGGAAGAATTAGCTTCCTCAGAGGAAGACTTAACTTTCTCAAGTCATTCACCTCATTCTCTCCTCCGACCCACTGTATAAATACTTAACTCTATCCATTTGTTCATCTACTTTCTCTGCTTCTGTGTTTGTGAGCTAGTTAGGGAAAACCAAAGTATTGACTGAATTAGAGTCATTGCACATTTATGTTTTCCAACCTCAGGGAACCCGAGGGGCTCTCCCACATTTCTTTCACATGTACGCTCCGTTTGCTCGATTTTCTCAGCAGCTCTTCTCATGCCTGATTATCTTTCAGCTTCTGTTATCCTTTTGATCAGGAGACGATCTTGCCTTATACTTCCGTCATTAGGATTTCACCTTGCTAACTTAAAACCTTAAACTTAACACTTTTCTGCATCCTTGAACACCTTTGCTTCCTTATCACCAGGCTTAGAGAAGATGTTCCGTTAAAACTAATCTCTCTCCTGCTCACCTCACCGACCTTGTTTTCTCTTCTCATTTGTCTTTAGTTTCTTTCTAGCTACAGGTTCTTCCTCCTCAGCTCCTAAGTAAATTGATAGACTGTTTTTGTAAAAGTCACTTTCTTTTTCTTCATCTTCTTATAGCTACTACCTAATTTCTCCTTCCTACCTCAGCTTTATTTTTATGTCTCTTAACTAGTATAGTCTAGTATCTTGATACTGTTTGGTTCTAAGGGATCAAATGCTATGCATATGCTTCAGTTGTAGTCTTATTTGACTTACCTTTGATATTTGGCACTTTGATATTTTCTACTTCTTTCATTTTGACCATCTTGTTTTCTTTTGGTTTCTGTGACACATATTTTTACTTTTCACAGTTCTTTCTAACATGAACTTCTGTCCCTTTTATAAGTCCCTGTCCACCTCCTTTCCATCTTTTCCTAATCCTTAAGTTGGGGGTTTTCAGGATTCTGCCCCACACCTCTCCTTGCATACTATGGTTTCTTACTGTACACCAGTCCATTTCCATGATAATGACTTCCAAATCTGGATCTCCAACCCCAGCCTTGCTTTGAGCAACTGCTCTCTATAGTCAGTTACTCATGTCCCATAAGTAGCTTTCACTCAGCTTCAATAGCTGGGAGGACTCAGTGCCCCTGGAGAGGCCGCAGTGGGAATGAGGCAGCCAGGGAAGTTCCCAATAGAGAAAGAGGGCTGTGGCAGTGATAGTGGAAGTCCTGTGTATTTGGGAGAGGAGCAGGGAGAGAACAGGGCATGTTGGGACAGTGCAGCGATAGTTAAAATCCAGCATAAGAATCTTAGGTGCTGTCAGAGCAACTGAAGCCAGGATAGCTACTAGTGTCTTTCAGGTCCTTGTTTTTAAATTTCCGTTATGATCCTTCCCTGTTAGGAGACTAGGCAATCCAATAGACATGTTTTATTTTCTTCCCTACCCTGATGCTTTGTCCTGCGAGGTAGGAGGAAGTAGGGGGGAGGGGGCGAAAGGGGGGGGGGGGCTTAGTTCTCCTTCAGTCAGGAACTTATTATTAAGAGTAAAGTGATAGTTTAATTCTGATAATTGTAGATCCAGACTCCTTCAGACCTTAGAGTTCTCTATTCTCCTAGCCCAGTGGTCGGCAAACTCATTAGTCAACAGAGCCAAATCTCAACAGTACAATGATTGAAATTTCTTTTGAGAGCCAAATTTTTTAAACTTAAACTTCCTTTAATGCCACTTCTTCAAAATAGACTCGCCGAGGCCATGGTATTTTGTGGAAGAGCCACAGTCAAGGGGCCAAAGAACCGCATGTGGCTTGCAAACTGCGGTTTGCCCCCTGTCCTAGGCCTTTGTAGTATCATAAAGAGGCATGTCTTGATCTAAATTTCTCTGGCACTGATCTAGCTTCCTGACTATGTCAAAGTCAGAAGTAAAGGAGGCAATTAGAACAGCCCTTATCCACAAAGAACCTTGACATCTAATCATGGTCTCCCTTGTGCAATCAAAGTGTGCATATCAACAGTCTTTGAAAAAGTATACATCCCAGCTGAATGTAGCGTCAGTCATTAAAATAAAATAAAAATTATGGGGCAAAATGTTTGTTTATAAAGAACTTTAATCAGGCTCTGAGACGTTTGAAAAGCAGA